GGGTCATGAACCAAAACATCTTCTATAAGATTACACTGATTTCTAGTAATGATCAAATCCAAATGCAAGAAGCCAATGATGATCTTAAAAGAGTTTATTTTTTTCGTTTTAGTTTCAACAAGCGGCTCCAGTGACTGGCAGGCGTGCGAGGATTCACACTGAAATAAGAGAACAACCTTCGTTTTTCATAAAATTGTAATTTACAATCCTTGAACTTGAAAACCGTGACAATCCCAAGATTCATTGAAAGTATCACTTACTCCGAAGCGCTCGGAGTTTACAAGTGTTCAAAAGTTTTTTCTGTTATGGCGTGAGATTGGGGACAAAATCGATCATTACATTTCGTATCGCGTGTTTTTTCTGAGTGAAGCAGCAAAAGGTGCTGGCGACTGACGAAATTACAGGTTAACAAAAAATCAAATAACACGTACACAAATAATTTTGGCTACCGATTTTCCGTGAATTTTTAAAGAGCAATTTTCTTTTAAGTTTCAAGACAATTTGAAGAGTCAAAATAAATATTACGTACTAAAATGCGAAAGTTATACATCACAAAATTGATAAATGGGCCTGAAATGAAATTCTATCTTGTTTTTGATTAAACGTTGCCTAGCACGTGACCGAAATCTACCCAGGCGGAAATCCAAAATGACGGTCGCGGTCTGGGCTTAGTTATATCACTCAAAACTCGTTCCCGTTTGTCTCATTTGATAAAGAGGGAATCATTAATGCTTTCATTGCGACAGTATTGCCTTGATTTTCCAATATTCACAATGATAGACAGTAAATTTCACTTTTCACCCACATTTACTTCCAACCTTTTCTTTTGAACCAGAAACAAAAATGATGTCGGTATGATTAAAACACATGACATCATCCACCCTTGTCAAATGTAATAGCATGACCATTTCAATTGTAATGCCTTCTTATCCCAACGTTACTTTGTTTCTTTGCTACATTAGCAAACACTGAACTATTGCTCGTACTCTAAATATGACAATCAACCACAAAATTCCCTAAACCAGATAACATTAAACATAATCCAAAAAATCATGTTAGTCATCTGTGAATTCACGAGTTTGCTCACAGAGCACTTTGATTCAAGAATCAGGCAGTTCTTGGCATTTCAATTTTTCTTTCATGTTCAAACATTTATAATCGTATGTCTCACCCCTTTACCTGTAGCAATCAATATATATGTGACTACAGGGTATATGTTTTCTGGAAGTACCGTTTTTAGGATTAGAGTTAAATTATTTATGATTACCCGTCGTTTGTACTCGCTTTGCGTTTTTTTGTACCATCCTTAGCTGGAGCTTCTAAATCCAACAGGTCGCTAACTTCGCTGGAGTTACGGCATTTACGGGTATTGACTGAATCGATTATTGTGAATTAACCTTAAAACAAGGGCTATTCCCTAAATCTTAATATTCATGCGATCATTGTGTTTCCTTTAGTTTGTTCTGTTGAACAATTGTAGAATTCTTATGAGTTTTAAAGGATTATTCAGCTGGTCTTGAGAAACCTACCTCGCGTTATTACTCCAGTCACCGTACAATGTTGCGTAATCTCCAAAGGACTACTTTCCTGAGGTCACACTTCTCTGCTTGCGCACTCATCGCAACTTGAACAGAGTGTGTGTACTCAAATCAATTGTTCAAGTTCCTGCATTTTACCATTCCTTTTTACTGGAAAAATTTAAAGCAGATCGTGAAAAGTGCAAAGTCTTACGACATATTTCTCGTCTGGTTACTTTTGGCGGTTAAACTTATGTCCCACCTGAACTTTTTTATTCTTACCCCATTTGTTCCAGGAGTTGAGATCCGGGGTTGACGAAAAGCCATTTCCTGCTATAACTGACCACTTCATGAACAAAAACTCGCTCTGAGCTACTACTAACATCGATTACGGGAGATTCAATAGATTCAGTTTTGCTTGAAAGGTTATTCTTACTTTCATTTGAGTGGGTTCGCTGTAAGTGGCCGTTCAATACAGGTGGGAAAAAGAATACAAACAGGCCGTTGGGCCGTTGCAGATGTATGCAATTTTCCGATCAGTAAATGGTGTAGTATGGTATCAGGTTAGCGTTTTGGCCGTAAGTTTCCGAGAAAACCAAGTCCCGGCTTGTGCTCCACATGTGAAGGAAACCACCTGTAGAAAATTGCCCTCAAACATTGAACTCACCAGCTCGGCGACAGCCAAGCCACTTTGCAGCAAAACTGAATAGCATTATTGGAAAAGTAAATGAAAGTTTCAAAATGTCTTCAAGTGCTGTGACCGGTTTTCTTCCGGTTTCTTGTCCACACGATTTCCCCAATAACTGAAGGTCTCAATGGGTTGATGGCTTTACGGCTAATGAGATTCGCCATTTTACGGCTAAAGTTTGATTTTTCTCCGTTGCCATTAAAAAAAATCATAAAATAAAACTACCGTGAACTCTTTCGATGTCTTACTGTTAAAATTTGTCAATCTACGTCTATCGGTAAATTTTTTTTAGCCGGTTAACAGCTGACGGTTAATCCCATTGGGATCCTTCTAACAGTCACAAGCAAATTTGTATAGATCTGCGAAGATTTATTGGGACGGTTTTCTTACAGACCATGTATGACGTCGACTCCGTTGTGGAAAAGGAGACAAGTCATTGGGAAAAGTTAAGATTTAAGTCTGACGGGCATTGTCATGTGATTTACGCGAGAATAATATGGGCGGTGAATAGCTAGTGACCGACCATCGACCGTTACCTGACCACTTATGCAGCGACAATTGACCGATGGATAACTTGACTGAAAGATCACCGACACCCGACCGCGAGACTACCGACACTTCACCGACACCGCATATCGATCACCTGTCGGTCGACGTATCGACCGAGTCTCAATCGACACTCGACCCACAGAGAGACCGACATATTAACTGACTCGATCGGTATAGCGGTCGATATGTCAAGTTATTTTTCTCTCGATGGGTAAGCGGGCGGTATTCTACAAATCTTGAAATCTGATTGGTTCTGTTAGAGGGTAGTATTCTCCCATCTGGCCCGCTCAAGCGGGCAGTATCCCATCCGTGCGTGCTGAGTCGACCAGTACATTCTTGGGTTCGTTGCAAACCTTCTCAAATGTATATTGTTTTGCAGGTTGGACTGCATTTATAGGCAGATTTATAAGCAGTATGTAAAAGATTTCGTTCGCTGATTATTTGCTAGTCACATAAATTTGAAAATTTCTACTGCACATTTCACAAAAAAGAAACCTATGTAATTCGATGACTAAAAGTCGCATAAAATCCCCTTGTGTCTGGCTAGTAAAAGCCGATTATCGGACTTTCAGTTTTCGGGGAGGAACAGTAAGATTTACACACGCCAGCAAGCAAACGAGGACTCTCACAACTTCGAAACATAATTTAAAGTTACACACAATTTGACCCTCCTTGACATTTAAAACCGAACAATCTTTTTAAATCTATACTCTGTAAAAAAAGTTTCTCGAAATTCGGTGGATATTTCTGATTGTCGGGTATCTGGCCTGTTTGAGATCGTGCTCTGCTGTCTGTTGAAGCGTCGACAACCAAGCGATTTGAGGTTCGATAACCTCGGAAAATTTGTCCATGAAAAACAAAAAGCACATGTTATTGCGCAAGATGATCGTCTCACAGCTGGAGCTTGGGCTGCCTGTGGCCACAGAGTTCTCGAAGGCAACATCTGCGAAACGAACGTGACCTCCCAGACTTTAATACATGTTTTACGTGTTTTAGTAGGGTACGTTCAAGCTTGACCACTGACTAAAACCAACGCAATTCTCGGAATCTCTTGGCATTTCTAAACTAACATCGAATGTTCTCAATAGGTTTTGTGTGGAGGTTTCATTGTCAGTTTGATGAAAACTTCGAACTACCGGTCATTTGGTCTATTCGCACTCGGCAGTCTGAATTTCTGAGTGTCGACAACTGAGTGATATTGTTGAATCTGTCAAAAAAAATAATTTTTGGAATCGCTTGACACTTCCAAACAAAATTCTGATATTCTTAAGAAGTTTGGAGGAACCTTTCAGCGGAAATTCTGTGAAAATTTCTGACTGTCCGACCTGTCTTGGGCCAGCCTCTATAAATTACCATTACTACTATTTATGTTGTCATTATGTTGTCATTATACGGTCATCACGGCACTTCAGAGGCTCCGAGACATCTGCTCTTTGAAAATTCT